AAGAAGAAGAAGAAGAAGAAGAAGAAGAAAAAAAAAGAGCCGGCTTAGTCGACGAAGCGGCAATGGCCACGTCAATTATGCATTATCTCGTGAAATCTCGGCTCGCACTAGTCAACTAACGTGCAAGCTTCGGGCCGAGACGATTAATTATTCATCGAACCATAGAGGAAAGAATTTCTTTTGAAACCTTTTCCTGACGTGAGTTTCCTTGTCGACGAAGCATGGATAATACGCAACAAGCAAAGAAACTTGTACTTTAAACATCGTACGAAGCTCCCTGCTGGAACGTTCAATTACGGAAAACTTTTAAAATTGCCACAGTCTCCTCTTCCTCTCTTTTTATTATTAAAGTCTCTACTTTAATTAAAAGTCCATGGTATAGTTGTTACGCCACAGTGTAAACGTTCCTCGACGCTTCTCCAGCAACGATTTTGCGTGCGAATGATCGAGTAATCACGACTTCGTTCGTCGAGTAATCGTTCCAAGTTGTTTCCCGCGCACAGTCGAAAATCTTTTGGTATTTCTCGATATTACGGAAGCACAACGATACTGTCACTGGTCACATCATTCTGTTTTACTACAGCTTCATGCTTTGGCGTTTATCCGAATCACTCGGGAATGTCCGAACGACTAGACACGTTGACGACAGTTCTTATCAGCACTGATTAAAATTTGCACGATAATTTCCGGATATATCGATGGTTGACGAATCAGTACAATCACCGGCCGTTTCCTGGGAAGAAATTTCACGAATGAGATCACCTTGTCTGAATTACACATTCGTAGGCAGGTATTTCAACAACAAAATAGCTTATGCCGGATTATTTTCTAAAATATACACGAAGAATCCGCGCGAACCGTGTGACAAACTCGGTGAAATTTTTTTCCATGCAAAGGAATAACCACGGACAGAGGGACGAGTTAACCCTCCGCTTTGGATCAAAGACGATAGCGCGGTTAGATTTAGCCGAACGTTGGCCGCGATGGGAAATTCGCGTAGCATGAACGATGATGGGAGCCTTTTGAAAAGAAAGGCTGGCACGTGTTTGTAACGCAACCGCGTCCCCATTCAACCGTCCGAGTTTGATACCAACCCCTTTTGGACGCGGCCTTCTGACACGTTTGCACGCGCGTTGCACTTACATAGTTACCGATTCAGACTGCTTGCATTCGTAGTGGAGAGGAGAGGAGATGAGAGGAGAGGAGAGGCAGGCATTGACGGAAGTCTCCGGTCTCGATTCTGAAACCGGAGTTCCGGCGAGTCTTTTCAAGCGGACCGAGCAGCTTAACGCGAACATTCTCCTCCCCGTGAGAATGTTCTGAAAGAACTTCGAATTCACGCCGAGACCTGTGTTTCGCAAGAGCCCGTACACGATCGTACACCCCGACAGACGTTCGTGCACGACGTCGCGTTATTAAGATGATTTCACTTGGTTGATCATTCAGTCACCGAGTTACGTGGCTATTGAACGACTGGATGAAAGTAACGTGCCGGTAAAACGGTGAGAATTTTACGAACTGGCTCAGCCCATGGATCGCGCGTCGTATTTACAAACGCTTTATCGGGATCGGTTAGAAAAAGCCAATTTTTCAACTTTCAGAGTGTGTTTTTTATACCGCGCGAAAACAAGTTTCGATTTTTGTCGATTCGCTTCTCGCGTCTCCTGTAACATCGGTGACGTAATCCTTTGCGCGTTCGTAGGACGAGAAATCTTCGGAGGCTCGCGACGAATTCGCCGGATCCTCCGTGAAAAGTGAACACGCGCGAAAGCGGTCGCCGAGTGGTTTCAGCTGAGCCGGAGCTCGTGTGTTTCGCGTTGCTGCTATTAATGCAAATGTATATTACGAGCGTCGTCCGGCTAAGGAATGCCGTCGGTCAGGGACGAAGCACTTAGACCGAGAACCACCAACTATTCAGCTGGCACGCTGAATCGCGGAAAGGATCGCTCTCGGATCGGAACCGGGTCGTTCCAGTTAAGAAGTTGAGAAATGGGGGCTAGCTAGAAATAGGATTAGAAGCACGTATACAACAATAACGCTCTTCGTACGCGAGCATTGCACTTGTCTCTTGCTCGTCTAAATGGCCACGGATCGGCTAATTAAATTAACTCGCTCGATCGATGTAATTAAATTAAAGTAACGGTGAATTCTATCGAGAAGAATAGAAGCGAAAGGGGCTTCATTAACTGCGACAGCTGTTCGTTGGTTGGTAAAGCGCGAATTAATTATTCGTTACAGCGGCCGCGGTGCGATTCGTGCCTCGTATTTACGGAAACCCAGGCGCGGGCCGATCTCGGCGAACGATCGTTGGCGCGAACGAGCCTTTCAATGATCGTTGCACTTTACAGCAACGTAACAACGAACGGAGCGC